TAGATTGCTTTGGATTGTGCAATAGACAATCAAAGTTGTACATTGACGCCATGGACAAGTGACTAAACACAACCTAAGTCCCTCTCGAATTATTGGTTGGATTTGTGTGCTTAGATATATAATTATGTGTGTGGTTGTTTCTATGTTGTGTATAAAGTTAAATTGATTGTACTACTGTTATTATGTTTTGGCTATAGTAGTTGGTTCGAGTTGTGTTTTCTTTAAGTACTTGATTGTACCAATAATTGGCCTTTTTAAAACAATCAAAATTGTGTTTGTTTTTAGGAAAAACTTTCAAATTTTATCAAAATTGTGTAAAAGAACAAAAAAGTTTTGACTAACTATTGTCGATTTTTTTAGTCAGCATAATATAATGCATTTACGAGAATATTCATATTGGTAATACTTGGTTGAGCATGTACGCAAAGTGTGGGTGTGTTAAAGATGCAATTTAGGTTTCAATTTAGTGCATGTTCATGTTCAATGTTTGATTTTTTTGAGTCCACAACAATATTTTATTTTGTTATGAATTACATAATACCTTTAGACACATGTTATCCCTATCTATAATAATAAGATGCAACCCAAATTGAATTAGTTAGAACTTAGAAATACCTAGACCCCACTACTCACACATGAATTTGTGCATGCTCTCCTTGATGTTTATGACCAACCAACTAGATTGAGAATCAACGATGATGTATAATATTTATTTTTCTTCTTTGTTTGCGTTCAAGATTAATGTTCATTTTTTTTTTGAATTACAACGTGCATTTAGATACGGGTTAAAGTTCAAACATTTGTGTGATGGTAACTCTTAGCTCCAAAGAAGATGAAGTTGAAGTTGAAGGAAATTGTTTCTATTTTTGTGCACGTGTGTTTTGTGTTTGCAATTTGCATGTGTTTTGTTTGTTCCATGTTTAGTACAGCGAACTAATTACACATGGTTATGAGAATATGTTTGGTTTGATGTGAATTGACGATTGGGTATGTAATTGAGTTGTGATGTATGATGATCGTGACAGAAATAAAATTGAATCATGGCGGTACGAGGCATTATGATAACTAAATTATAGATTGTGAGTTCTGTAGACATGTTGAAATTTTCTTAGCCTCCTATTTTAGAGAAAGTTTTGCTGAAATTTTTACAAAATTAGTAGTGACTAAATTGATTTCAATTTATTTAATTGAAGCAAATGATGTAAAAATTATTTCAAATTGACAGTTTATTTTATGTTGTAAAGTGTCTTTAGGCACGATAATATTTTTTAAGTTTTAATTCAATTTTTTGTTACTCTGTACCTTCAAGCACGAACAATTATTAGTTATAAAATAATATTTAATNATTCTGTACTTTCAAGCACGATCAATTATTAGTTATAAAATAATATTTAATACATAATAATTTCATAAAAAATGCATTTATTATATATGACATGAATAATGCAATATTTAACCAAGGGATTGGGGTTTTATATATTTTGAATTTGACCACCAACCGTGGATTAATTAATATCGAATGATTTAGCCTCATATATTCCAAAAACTCATTCTCTATTCTGGTTAACCCTATCTTTTGCCCCCTCCCATATTTGTCTCTCACTAGTCTCTCCATTTCCCATATTCTCTCACTCTAAACTTGTGTCTCTCTTTTCTTCCAACCTCCCATTCTCTATGTTGCATTAAATTTCTACCCCCATCTCTCAAATCTCTCTACTTCTATCTCTATCTATTAATCATTGTAGAAATATGTTGCATTATTTTTTTTAGGAAAAATTTCATTCACATCTCCTAAAATTAGGTCTAAATTAAATGACATCTCCTCTCAATTCTTGAAACTTCACTGTCACCCCCTGTTAGAGTTTGTCGGATTATAGCGTTAACNATTTCACTGTCACCCCTTGTTAAAGTTTGTCGGATTATAGCGTTAACGGTGATTGTTAATTTACAGAAATACCCTTAAATATTTTATAGGATAAATTTTATTCACTCCCCTTGCAAATAGACATAATGTTAACGACACCATGTAAATAGACCTATTTTTAACAATACTCATCTCGTTTCTAAAATTTCAATGCACTCCATTTTAGTTATATTAAATTAACATTTAGGTTCATCAATTTAATATTTAATTTTATCAAATTAATGTCCTTTATTTAATTTAAACTAAATTAATATTCCATCTCATCAAATCAACACAAATTAATATTCAATTTTATCAAATTAACATTTAGCTATATTAATTTAATATTTTATTTCATCAAATTAATATTATTTCTTTTTTTAATATTAAATTATTATTTAATTACATCAAATCAACACCAAATTGACATTAAATGTTATTAAATTAAAATTTAATATATTAAATAGAATATTAAATTTCATTAATTTGACATTTAACCATATCATATTGATGTCAGTTATTTTATTTAACACCAAATGAACATTCAATTTCATTAAAATAATATTTAAATTTATTCAATTAATATTAAATTTTATCAAATTAGCACTAAATTAATATTTAAATTTATCAAATTAAGACCAAATTTATTTAATTAATATTAAATTTTATCAAATAATATTTAAATTTTATATATGAATGGTGATGCGTGAAGAGTGGTCAGGTGATGATGTGGAGGCAAACAATAGCAGAAGAGTTAGAAATGGATGAAATTTTGACATTGACTTTATTGATTGTAATTTGTATTATAGAAAAATTATTTTTAACTATAAAAATTATAAAAACTCAATTATTAATTAAATGAGTGACAATACGATGGCTAATATTATAACAAAATTATCATACAACGCTTTAAAATGATAAAAATTCACTGGGATAATATAATAATAGAAATCACACTTACTAGTTGATTATGACATATATAATGGAAAAATGATTGTGGACATTTTAGTCCATTTATATAACAAAAGGTACTTTTGGTATTTTCACAAAATATTTAGTCAAAATCATTACTTTATCTACTAGTAGAGGTAAAAGTTACCGTTAAAGGGTGTCATTGATTTAAAAGTATAACCAGAAGGATATACAATAAAGTTTTAGAATCAAGACGGGTTGTCATTGAATTTAGACTTAACTACAAAGAATTTAAATGAAAATTTTCCTATATGTAATGGGAAAAGGGTTGAGGGCATTTTATTTATTTACATAACAAATGGTAGTCTGACATTTTTAAAAAATATATAATCAAATTGTTACTTTATATATTGGTAAACTCAGAAGTTATTGTTAAGGGGGTGTTTTTGATTTGAAAGTATAAATCAAAAGGAGATGCAATGAAGTTTCAAAATTAAGAGGGAATGTCATTAAATTTATACCTAACTAGAGGAAGTGTGGATGAAATTTTCCCTTTTTAATGTTTTTTTCCATTTTTTTTGACATGTTGAATGCATTATATTTGTGAATTTTGATTTTAGTAACCTATGAATTGCTTCCTACATTATTGGTGCCACTTTAGCAGCAAAACAATAATATAATGGCGATGTGTGTTATTTTATGCGATTTTTGGTGGTTTGTTAATGTCATCTAGGTTAGGTTCATGCTTTTATTAATCATAAGGTACTTTTGGTAATATCGTATTTTTACATTTTCTCTCTCAAAATTATGTATTTCTACATTATTTGATAATTTCTAACAAATTTCTTTTTTTTTTTCTGTGGGGAGTTGGAATCAGTTTTATGTAGTTTCCATGCTTAAATTGGATATGCATTTTATGGGCGTTGCTTTTAAATTTCTAAGACTAAGACTATTCAAAAATTGTTTTATGTCGGTATGAGATTTTTTTTTCTTTTTGTGTTGTTTTTGTTTGGTTAATGAATATTATTGATACTTATAGTCTTTTTTTAGGTAGCTTGTGAGAGAATGTTTACCTTCAATTGTTTTGCCTTCTACGGAGGGGAGGGTGCAAGTTATTGCAGAGAAGTGGACTAGTGGAAGTTTGGATTTTTTTTTTTTTGTTTTTCAGTCAAGAAGTTAGGGTTGGCATAGTGGAAATTTGTTATTTTTCTTTTTGTTGGGGGAGGGCGTGTTGGCTCTACTACGCACAGGTTTTAAGGGGTGATTCTTGGCAGGGCTGACCCAATAGAAAGGTCATTTAAACATTTGCTTAGGGCCCAAAAAATAGGAGGGGCCACAAATAATAAGTATAGTCTTTAACTATTAATGGGTCTTTGGTCCAATGAATCTCTTTATTTTATGAAAATTTTGTCTTCTTGAGGTCAAGAGTTAAAGCCCCCTTCCCCTCCCAAAAAAAAAAAGTATAGTTTTTAAATGTAATTTAAATTGGCCCAAAAATTTTGGTTTAAAGGGCCCAATCTAATAGAAATTCTTACAAGGCCTAGACTAAAATAAAGGTCCAATTTACATCTCTGTCACTTTTTTCAACGATTAAAACTTAAAAGACTTGAAAGTTCTAAAAAATACAAAAATTAATTTTCCACAATTAAAGCCTAAAGTCTACTCTCTCTTTCTCCAAGTAAAAAAAGTTCATATAGCATAATTATGTATCTCTCTCTTGCAACTTAGATTAAATTGTAAAGGTACATATTTGTTTGATTAGTAATTTATTTTTTTAGTATTTTTATTGATAGGATTAATTTAATGTAATTATTCTTTTTTATTTTGAAAGTTTGAAATACTAGATGATTTAGGAGGCGAACAAATCGTCAATTCAAAGCTTATACAATTTTTATTTATCAAGTAATACTGTGTTTAATTCTTATTGATTTTTATAAGATATTAGATTGTTTTCTTAGTATAAGTATTTGTTATTTTAAAATATATTTTATTCACAAGAATTTTTAGTTTGAAATATGTCAAGTTCTTTGAAAATNAGAACTAAATATTATTCTAAGATTATTACCAAAAATTTACTAAAAATCAAAATATTGGGGTTTTGGAAAACCTATTGCATTGTTGACAAAACCGTTGCCATAACTTGGGAATCATGACTACCGGAGCCTTGGAGTGAACCTCACAAATCTTATGGCGTCGGTGGTAATGTTTCATCGTTCAAATCGATGGTGCACTTTTCCACTTGACAGCAAGGTCGCGCCACCCATCCCCCACCACCACCAGCACTAGACACTTGCTCACCAGACCCACCAACAAGATACATTTTTTTCTTCGCATGAACCTCGCAAGGCTCTTCTTCTTCTCCTCCTACTTCTTCTTCTTCTTCCTCCTCCTCCTCCAATTCATCGCCTTTATCTTCCACCATTTGCTTTGTGTACACCTTGTTTTCCTTGATGGTGATGGCCTTGGCTCCACCCTTTTGTTAGTATCCATTTTTTTGGTGGAGTTTTCAAGATGGTGAAAGAAGAGGCAAGAGATGAAGACAAAGAAGGTACATTGGATGTGAATAAAACAAGTTTCGTAATGAATGAAGCAGAAGGCATACTTTCTGAAAGCAGAATGCATGCTGAAAGAAANCAATTCATCGCCTTTATCTTCCACCATTTGTTTTGTGTACACCTTGTTTTCCTTGATGGTGATGGCCTTGGCTCCACCCTTTTGTTAGTATCCATTTTTTTGGTGGATTTTTCAAGATGGTGAAAGAAGAGGCAAGAGATGAAGACAAAGAAGGTACATTGGATGTGAATAAAACAAGTTTCGTAATGAATGAAGCAGAAGGCATACTTTCTGAAAGCAGAATGCATGCTGAAAGAAAAGTGAAAAAAAGGTACCATTGGAAACAAAAGAAATAGAGATTTGGTTTCAAAAGAAAGCAGAAGGTAGAAGGCATACACCAATGTATTTTACAAACTTATACCCAAAAGAGATTTGGTTTCAAATTATTTTTCAAACTCATGCCCTTTTAAACACGTTAGTTGGAATGACGTTTTCATGCTTAAAATGTCAATTGGAGTAACGTTTTTACACTAAAAACGTCAGACCAAGTGACCTTTTTTGTTTAAACTGAGGCCATCTAGAAGAGCTAAAAACATCAATTGTAATGACGTTTTTAGATTGTATCCAAAATCGTTTCTATTCTTTCCTTCTTCTCTCTTATTTTTCTTCTTCCCCCCAATTTTGTTTGAGCCCTANACGTTTTTACACTAAAAACGTCAGACCAAGTGACCTTTTTTGTTTAAATTGAGACCGTCTAGAAGAGCGAAAAACGTAAATTGTAATGACGTTTTTAGATTGTATCCAAAATCGTTTCTCTTCTTTCCTTCTTCTCTCTTATTTTTCTTCTTCCCCCCAATTTTGTTTGAGCCCTATTGAATTTCCAACCTCCTTCAGGCAACAAATCACTAGCACCACCTTCAGAATCAGACCAGTCCTAAGAGAAATCTCCACAAGCATCGCCTATCTCCACCAACCTTGATTTTGTAACCAACCCACATCCAGCAGAATCTGCATCCAACTCCACCAATCCAAGGCGAAATCTCCTCCATCAGNATAACTAAATATTATTCTAAGATTATTACCAAAAATTTACTAAAAATCAAAATATTGGGGTTTTGAAAAACCTATTGCATTGTTGACAAAACCGTTGCCATAACTTGGGAATCATGACTACCGGAGCCTTGGAGTGAACCTCACAAATCTTATGGCGTCGGTGGTAATGTTTCATCGTTCAAATCGATGGTGCACTTTTCCACTTGACAGCAAGGTCGCGCCACCCATCCCCCACCACCACCAGCACTAGACACTTGCTCACCAGACCCACCAACAAGATACATTTTTTTCTTCGCATGAACCTCGCAAGGCTCTTCTTCTTCTCCTCCTACTTCTTCTTCTTCTTCCTCCTCCTCCTCTTCATCGCCTTTATCTTCCACCATTTGCTTTGTGTACACCTTGTTTTCCTTGATGGTGATGGCCTTGGCTCCACCCTTTTGTTAGTATCCATTTTTTTGGTGGAGTTTTCAAGATGGTGAAAGAAGAGGCAAGAGATGAAGACAAAGAAGGTACATTGGATGTGAATAAAACAAGTTTCGTAATGAATGAAGCAGAAGGCATACTTTCTGAAAGCAGAATGCATGCTGAAAGAAAAGTGAAAAAAAGGTACCATTGGAAACAAAAGAAATAGAGATTTGGTTTCAAAAGAAAGCAGAAGGTAGAAGGCATACACCAATGTATTTTACAAACTTATACCCAAAAGAGATTTGGTTTCAAATTATTTTTCAAACTCATGCCCTTTTAAACACGTTAGTTGGAATGACGTTTTCATGCTTAAAATGTCAATTGGAGTAACGTTTTTACACTAAAAACGTCAGACCAAGTGACCTTTTTTGTTTAAATTGAGACCGTCTAGAAGAGCGAAAAACGTAAATTGTAATGACGTTTTTAGATTGTATCCAAAATCGTTTCTCTTCTTTCCTTCTTCTCTCTTATTTTTCTTCTTCCCCCCAATTTTGTTTGAGCCCTATTGAATTTCCAACCTCCTTCAGGCAACAAATCACTAGCACCACCTTCAGAATCAGACCAGTCCTAAGAGAAATCTCCACAAGCATCGCCTATCTCCACCAACCTTGATTTTGTAACCAACCCACATCCAGCAGAATCTGCATCCAACTCCACCAATCCAAGGCGAAATCTCCTCCATCAGAAATCCCCTCCACCACCAGTTGAAACCCACCTCCACAAAACTTCATCTGAAACCCATCTCCACTTGCACCATTCTGCGAAATCTCCACCACCATTACCATCCCAAATCAGCACCACCTTTTGAAACCCATCTCCACCTCCACCACCCGTGAGGATGCAAGTAATGGATGAGTTTGAGCAATACTCATACACCCACCAAAGAACTAGCTCCGCAACATATGGTGGGTACTCAACCAATAATTCACCAAGTAAAAATTTTCAAATGGGGTTAGGCAGAAATTGAGTTTGGTGAACAAGATNATTTTGAGCAATACTCGTACACCCACCAAAGAACTAGCTCCGCAACATATGGTGGGTACTCAGCCAATAATTCACCAAGTAAAAATTTTCAAATGGGGTTAGGCAGAAATTGAGTTTGGTGAACAAGATGATGTCCATCAACTAATAATGCAACAAAGTTCAATCCGGGAATATGAAAAAATGTGTGCCAATGATCGTACAGATGTCTTCGATGATGAAAAATAAGAAGAAGAGTTTGAAAAAGTAATGATTACTGAGCCGGATGACAAAGATAGGAATGGTGAAGACATTGAGATTGGTGCAAAGGTTCGGATGCATAAACCTTACTCCNAATGTGTGCCAATGATCGTACAGATGTCTTCGATGATGAAAAATAAGAAGAAGAGTTTGAGAAAGTAATGATTACTGAGCCAGATGACAAAGATGGGAATGGTGAAGACATTGAGATTGGTGCAAAGGTTCGGATGCATAAACCTTACTCCACCTCTATCACAATCACTAAATTTGGTCAGCATTCTGAAACAGATAGCTTTGTACTGTCTTTTGAAATAAATTTTTGGGATCTGGTGAAGATGGAATTGTAATAGAACATGGTTTTCAAGATAAAGCTTCATTGATTAGGGCAGTTAAATGGTATTCCATCAAGTTAAATCAGGATTATGTCATGGTCAAGACGAACACAATAGTGTTGGCTGTACAGTGCAACATGCACATGCAACCTAACTGCATATGGAGACTATGTGCTTATTTTAGAANTGGGTCGTACAGTGCAACATACACATGCAACCTAACTGCATATGGAGACTATGTGCTTATTTTAGAAAAAAAACTCAAAATATTTCAGATCACGAAATATGATGGACCTCATACCTGCTTCTACCCTCGAATAAGTTGTGATNTTGGCTGTACAGTGCAACATGCACATGCAACCTAACTGCATATGGAGACTATGTGCTTATTTTAGAAAAAAAATTCAAAATGTTTTAGATCACGAAATATGATGGACCTCATACCTGCTTCTACCCTCGAATAAGTTGTGATCATCGAAAGTTAGACTCTGACTTCATATGTCATAATATACTGGGACTTGTTGGTGATACACCATAAACAAAAATGTCAACAATTCAGAATAATATAAATGAGAAGTTTAAGTATGATATTTTCTACAAATAAATATGGATTGCGAGAAACAAGGTCATCGTTAAGATTTTCGGTGATTAGGACTCGCTGTATGACATGTTGCCAAAGTTTTTGGGTGTCATTAAGAAGTATAACCCTGGCTTGATTGTGAAGTGAGTACAACTATGAATCTCTTGAATATAATATTTTTATGAGTATTTTAGGCATTCAAGGCCATCATTAAAGGGTTTAAATATTGTCGACCTATTGTCAGTATTAGCAGGACATTATGTGTGAAAATTATAAGAGAAAGCTGTTAGTGGTGACTGATTTTGATTCTAATAAACAGTTGTTTTCCATTGTATTTGCTATTGTGGAAAGGGAGAATAAACCAAGTTGGTCTTTTCTCCTATATTACCTTCGGTGGATAGTTATTAGGCATCGGCAAGGGATATGTTTAATTTATGATAGACACGTAAGGATCCTTTCTGCTGTGAATATGGAAGATTCTAGGTGGCATCCACCACATGCTTATCATCACTTTTGTTTTTGGCATGTTCGTAGTAATTTTAATGCACAATTTAAGGATGGTCATTTGTACTATCTTATGTGGAGGGCTGGAAGACAAGACAAGTTCGATGAGTTGATGACCTAAATACGCAATGTCAAAGAGGAAACAATTGATTACTTAAATAATATACCAGTGGAGAAGTGGACATTAGCCCATGATGGTGGACAACTATATGATATAATGACAACCAACATTTCTGAGATTTTTAATAGTGTTTTCCAAGGTGCTAGGTATTTGCCCATAACTACTTGTGTGCAATCAATATTTTATTGGATCACTAAATATCATTTTGAACATTGAGATAATGTGACAAAATTAAAAAAAAATGGGTTAGAGTTCCCTAAGAGTGTTGTAAAACGAGTATAACATACATAGAAAATGAGTCGTATCCACGAAGTGATGCAATTTCATAAGGAGTGTGGTTTTGCTGAAGTGGTGACTAGTGGTGGGCAGAAGCAAGTTGTGTATCTTGAAGATCGTTCGTGCACAGGCAAAAAATGGGCAGACAATTTACAGAATTTTTTGCTCTCATGTATTGGTTGAATGATCTCATTTTCAATTTCATTTTCAGTCGTACATAGATCCTATATACAACATTGACAATTTAGAGAAAATTTGGGAGCCCCAAATGTATACTTTGGAGCATGAACATTATTGGGATGATCATCCACATCCCAAACTAGTCCCTAATCTTAACCAATATCGAGACTTAATTGGTTGGCCAAGGACGATGAGCATACGGAATAAGATGGACTTTTCGTCAGAGGATCGTAATCAGATACATTGTGGGACATGCAGTGAAGTGGGTCACAATCGTCGGAAGTGTTCATCCATAAGCACGCGAGCTCCATCATCCATTCACTAGATAGTCCCAAGTTATTTTATGAGCTTGTTAAATTGTACTAAAAAAAGAAAAAAATGTTTTACTCAAGTGTGTATTAGACCTTATGATGCGGTTATGGTGTAAGATTTTATAGGAACACAAGCTTATAAGTACATGTTTTTTGAAAGAATATCATTATGCTATGTTGGATGTTGAAATTGTTACCTTTATAAATATTTGATTGCAAATGTTTTCATTATAATTCATAAGTGTATTTTGGTTTTGCATATTAATTTAGTTACATTTATCAATATATTATTGTGGTTTTTTTCATTATAATTCATAAGTGTATTTTGCTTTTTGCAGATTAATTTAGTTCTAGCTATGGACACTGATGGTAGGCATTTAGTACATCATGGTCCACGTGATCATTATGTTCTTTTGTTATAGGTAGAGCATCGGTCAGACTATATATGACAGGGCATAGATCTCCCTCCTTTACATTGTAGGCGTATTGAGCGCACCGCACGATAGTTACATGTCACGGTTTAGTGCATTCTTCGTCTTTTGGTTACTACTGATTTTTACGGTGTGCACAAGGTTGCGTCCAAGCGATTGGACTAGGATCTCATCACAAAACTAGTTGAGAGATGACGTGTTGAGACGCACACATTCCATCTTTCTATGGGGGAGGCCACTATCACCCTTCAGGATGTCATTGTGCATATAGGCCTACTGATCGATGGTATGGCAGTGACTGAGAGGGATAGTTGTCCTGATGACACAACTTGGCCAGCACTATGCCAACAGTTTTTTGGGTTTACACCTATCGCGAGGGCTATAGAAGAANCGATGGTATGGCAGTGACTGAGAGGGATAGTTGTCCTGATGACACAACTTGGCCAGCACTATGCCAACAGTTTTTTGGGTTTACACCTATCGCGAGGGCTATAGAAGAATCTTTTCTCAGGCTTACTGCATTGCGCGGTCATTTGGATGGAGGTGTACCTGTAGATGCTGACGATGCTTTTATAGCCTGTTATGCCAGATCATAGATCATGCTATTGATCGATTCATATCTGTTCATAGGCAAGTCATCTAGCAAGGTGAATTTGATGTACATTCCCTTGATTGTCGATCTTACCACTGTCGGTCAGTACAGTTGGGGTAGCGTAGCCTTGGCCTGGCTATACCGTGAGATATATGTCGCTATTAGACGCGATGCTAAGGATATCAATGGCTTGCTTGTTCTACTACAGGTATATTTTAGACTTTTGTTTCATGTTCGTACAATTGTTGTTTTAAGTTTAATGTAATGTCAAACATACGAGTTCCATTACAATTGTTTCGTGTATTTATATAGTTATGGGCATGGGAGCTTTTAGCACACATTCATCTAGAGAGAGTACTCCCACGTGGACCATTACATCATGTAATAGCGGATGAGGCATATGCACATGTAGAGGACGACCCAACAGATGGTGTTGCACTTGCACTAACACGTGATCTTGCACCACATGTCGCGCCACATGATGACCTACTTGTAGGCCCTCGTGAGTGTAGGTAAGACAATATTTGTGTTGTATGGTTCATTATTCATTACTAGTACATAATGCCAACTAATGTCATATGTAACTCTGTTTTTGTTTGCTATGTAGTTGGAATATTGCATTTTTCGAGCAACATAGTCTACCCATTTTCTAAGACATTACAAAGATCAACTTGATCAGATGCGGGATAAGTAGGTATACCAACAATTATACATACATGTGTTAGTTATTTGTGTTATTGGTGTATGTTGTTGTTGGTGGGTTATTGGATATATGTCTGGTTGGTGGTTGTTTGTATGATTGGTGGATGTATGTATGACTTGTGTTGTTAGTGTATGTATGAAATATAAGATGCAACAGGTGGTTTTGAAAATATTTTGGGGTCATACTTATAGGGAAAATTCTACCGAAATTTTTAATTTTTGTCTAAATCTAACAACACTGGTCATTCTTATACTGCAGATGATATGGCAACCTTTCAATGTGGATGTGCTGGCCAGCCTACCAAATTATTGCTTGAGGAGTCAGGACTCATGGACTACACGAGCACCGCTTATTTGTTTTGATGTGGTGGAGTGGCATTTCTCCGACCATGTTCTCCAACAGTTTGGACGCAAACAGCTGATACCAGCGGCTTGTGATTCCAGTAGGGAGTTGCATGCCACAAATAGGCTTGGCACACCTGGTTATGATTGACTGACCGTACGTCAGCGCTACACTAGCATGTGAGAGCAGTTG